AGACAGCTCATTATCAGACATGAAAGTTTGAGTGGGAAGCGCTCCCCTCCTCCCACTGTGGTCCTGCTCAGGTTAGCAGGGTGTCATCTGGGCTTAGGAATCCCTAGAATCTAGAATCATGGCGGCAAGGGCGAAGAAAACTTTGGGGGAAGCTCTTACACAACAGCCCCAAAGGGGAAACGCCCTTGAATGATGTTGTTTTCACTGAAGAACTGTGCGTACATTGTAAATGTCTCATTATGGAAAAGTTTCAAACATATACAGAAGCAGAAAGGACACTATAATGAACCACACCATAATTTCATCACTCAGCTTCAAATGTAGAAATACGAGGGAAGGGATGCTATGCATGGTGGTGCATGCCTGTAATCCTAGCACTTTGGGAGGCTGAGGCAGGAGGATTGCTTGAGGCCAGGAGTTCCAGACCAACCTGGGCAACACTGTGAGAACCAATCTCCATCTTTTTTAAAAATGTAAAAGAACCCATCTCTGCAAAAAATTTAAAAATTATCCAGGTGTGGTGGTATGCATATATATATATATATATATGTATATATATGTGTGTGTGTGTGTCTACATATATGTATGAATACACATATGCAGATACACACTTATAAAAATGGAATCAAAAAAATACATACAGGCTGGGCACGGTGGCTCATGCCTGTAATCCCAGCACTTTGGGAGGCTGAGGCCTGTGGATCACTTGAGTTCAGGAGTTCGAGATCAACCTGGCCAATATGGCGAAAAGCCATCTCTACTAAAAATACAAAAATTAGCTGAATGTGGTGACAGGCGCCTGTAATCCCAGCTACTTGGGAGCCTGAGGCAGAAGAATCGCTTGAACCCAAGAGGCAGAGGTTGCAGTGAGCCAAGATTGTGCCCTTATACTCTAGCCTGGGCAACAAGAGCCCATATTAAAACAACAGCAACAACAACAACAACAACAACGACAACAAAGCACATACATACAGGACTACCTTTAATTTACTTTTCTTATTTAAAATAGGATTTTTGGCTGGGTGCACTTTGGGAGGCTGAGGTAGGCAGATTGTTTGAGTCCAGGAGTTTGAGACCAGCCTGGGCAACATGGTGAAACCCCGTCTCTACTAAAAATACACACACACACACACAAATTAGCTGAGTGTGGTGGCGGTCACCTGTAATCCCAGCTGCTTGTGAGGCTGAAGCAGGAGAATCACTTGAACCGAGGAGGTGGAGGTTGCAGCAAGCCGAGATCACACCACTGCACTCCAGCCTGAGTGACAGAGCAAGACACCACTCAGTCTCAAAAAAAATATATATATATTTTTAGTGGTTGCATAATATTTCATCTCCAGATAAAACATAATTTTACCAACCTCCTATTTTTGGACATCTAAGCTTTTAACTTTTTTGTTATATATTTCCCTGCTATGAAAATTCTTACAGGTAAATATTTGCCCATATTTCTTTATGTGTTATTTCTGTAGAAAAGTTTTCTAGAAGTGAAACAGTTATAAATGAACCTGTAAACTAAAATGCAAACTGCCAAAGTGCCTCCAGGAAGGTTGTTACCATTTACATTCCCTCCAGTATTGTAAACTGGACTCATTGTTTCAGTTACCATTATGTTCACCCAAATCCTTGATGGGAAGGCCCCAGAGACCTTGTGAGCATTTCTCATTATAATGATTCCTCCCCAAATAAGAGAGCTCTGAGGAGAGAAAAGATGAAGGAATAAGAAAGGGGAATGATGGCTATAGGAGGAAAACAGAAGAAGTGGAAAAATGAAGGAACGGAGGGAGGGACAGATGGATGGAGGAAGTAAGGGAGAGAGGGAGGGAGGGAGAAAGGAAAGGGAAAAGGAAGGAAGAAAGGGAGGGAGGGAGGAAGGAAGGAATGAAGGGAGGGAGGGAAGAAAAGAGGGAGGGAGGAAAGAAGAGAGGAAAAAATGAAGGAAGGGATAGAGAGATGGAGGGAAGGAGAAAAGGAAGGAAGGAAGGAAGGAAGGAAAGCAGGCTCACGTAAGGGCAGAGGAAGAGACAATAGGAGTTAGAGAAATTGAGAAAAGGGAGGGACCAAGCAAAAAGGTGAGGGAGGTGTCATTATATTTTGATAGAGAACAGGAAACTGGGGGACCAGGAGACAGAGAGAGGCAGACCACATCCTTGGCTACTATTCTTCTGAACAAGGGACATGGCAGTGTGGATCTTCAGCAAGTTGCCACCCTTTGTCTCATGTCCTGGCTACTCCAGCCTCTCCAGTTGGGTTTCACAGGCCCTGGGGATAGCCATACTGGCCTCTCCCACCTGTCACTTGGGCTGCTGCCTGGAAGCCTTCACTTTGGAGCTTCATGGGTTTGTCAGGAAGAAACTGTTTAAAAATCATGTGAAGGACAACACCAATGCCATTTGGGAAAAACATATCTTGGTTTGAATAATTTAAACCAAAATAAATAAAAGAAAATTTAAAAATTTAAAAGTTAAGTGGTGATAGTGTTGGGGATGGTAGTGGCAGTGAGGAGTGAAATGCACAAAATAATTCCTTAAACTTTACTCTGCCCTGGCAGGGAAGACCCCATGGAAAGCCAAAATAGGCCAGGCGCATCTCCCAGTTCCTGTTGTCCAGTGAGTCAGGCGTTACTCAACCCTCTACCAAAAAGCGTGCCTGCCCCTCTGCACAGAATGGAAAATGAACATGGCTCTGCCCTGTCTCTGAGAGACCATTTAAGGCTTTGAAAATCTCCTGCAAGTTGAGTGACACTCCTGTGCCAAGAGCGGATGAGCATGTTTTGTTCCTGGGACATCTGCTATCTCTGATTGGAATGTAAGAGATGTCTGAACTTCCCGATATCCTCTCTCTCTCTCTCTCTCTTTCCCTGTCCCTCCCTCCCCTTGCTGCCCCACCCCCCATTTCTGTCCCCAAGCCACTACAATGACCCTGAGCAAAAAAAAAAAAAAAACAAAAAAACAAAACCTGACTCTCTACGAACCCCAGGGAACAAGTTCCACCAACACCCACTTCTTTTTGTTTGGCAAAATCTCCTTTTATGTAGAAGGATTATCGATGAAAAGGCCATACTTTGCAAATGTGTCATCAAGTTAACCAAATAATAAAAATGCCAAGTGCAGAGCAGTTTGTATTGTGAACTCCATTTGCAATTTAAAAGACTTTTACATAAACATATGCTTTTATACACATGTATGAAGAATATAAACAGATACACAAAACGGAAACTTTGATATTAGTGGTTGGGGGGAGGGGAAATGGAGTAGAGGGCACAGGTCACAGCATACTCTTTCTGTTTGATATTTTTCATCGTGTGCATAAGTGCACATGATAATTTTTTAGGATTTTAAAAATCCTATTATTATTTAGAGACTGGTGGATTTGGTTCAAATCTTGCTGTCCCACCTACTAGCTCCAGGAGTGTGGGTACCTGACTTCACGACTTCAGCAGTCATTGGTTGTAAAATGGGGCAATTGTATTGTCTGCCTTCTAGGGTCATTGCAAAGAGCACGTGAGTTAGCACATGCGAAGCACTTAGCACAGAACCTGACACGTGTGGTCAATAAATATGGGCCTCATCATCATCATCATCGTCGTCATCATCATCATCATTAGTTTTACTATCTGTGGCTGTTATCCTGACCCAAAGAACTTGGTTGTTTGTTTCCTGAAAGCCAGGAAACCCTGCAATATCACTAACCGGCTATTCTTTGAAGTAGGGCTGCCTGCTCTGCCCGGGGAAGGAGGGAGCCATGTGTTACAGTCCTGAGGCATATAGATCTTCCCTCAGCAGATCATTAGGCTCATGTTTGTCACATTTATTTTAAGGAAACTGGTAGGGAGAGGGTGGGATGAGGTTAATTGCCCTATGGATGCTGGGCGGCCCTGTTCTCCAGATGGGGGGAGGTTCAACAAAGCCTGGCGTGACCCCAGAGGCATGGCTAAGGCCCTGGCTCCTAGATCTTACCAAACAGAGAAATAAGACTTGCAGAGAGGGAAGAGGAAAGGGGTCACTGAGGCCTGAGCTTTCATCCTGGGGACTCCGGGTTTGCAGAGAAACCCAGATGGATTGGTTGTGTTTCTTACAGAAGTTTGGGAAAGCCCTAGACTTCATCTTATCCAGAATGAATCGGCAGAGTCCCACTTCCCAAGCAAGTTAAGAGTCATTCTGTGTGGAATTTTTCTCCGGCATGAATCATTTCATAGGGCAAGGAAGGAAGGGTGCAGGGCCTTTTCAGTTTTGACTGCTTCTCCTTTGGGTGTCAGACTGCTCCCCAAGACCAGCTAGTGGTGGGTGCAGGGGGTGGGGTGATTCCTTTCTTTCCATCAGCAGGGTTCAGACTTTCCACAAACCTTTAGCACAGACCTAACTGGGTGAAGTCCCTACAGCCATGTCGCTCTGGGATGTCACTTCACCTTTTCAAGCCTCTGGTTATTCATCCGCAAAATGGGTAAAATAATAGTTCTGCCGCACTGACTTTGTGGAAGGATTAATACATGTAAGCATTCATCAAATGGTAGCTACATATATGATGATTGTTATTATGTTTCAGTCTACCTGTGAACCAAGATTTGCTTTCTCCTACCCTGTAAGACCTTCATCTTCATAAAAAGAAAATACATCAGTGTCCGTTAAATTGTATGTTTCAGCCCTCCCAGAAAACAATCAGGAACACACAGCAGTCCCGGCTAAATGAGTAGAAAATGAACTCCCGGTGGATGGGTGGGGGCGGGGGGGGGTGACACCTAATTCAATGTTGATTTTTCTGACCACCGAAAATATTCCTTTTTACGGACCTGCTGGAGCTCCTTAGATTAACAACCTCGGCCAGCACTCATCGCCCCCACCCTGGCAAAGCTTCCCAGCCAAGGAGAAGGTGTGACTTCAGACTTCGTGGTAAGGATGGGGGTGGGGGGGGCGGAATGCAGGCCGGTGTGTGAGGTGATTGTAACCAGAAACGCCTAGGCAGGCATCTCGCTTCTGTCCTGAGCGGCCGCTGGCAGGCAGCCGGGCCGGGAGCCGGGAGCCGGGAGCGGATCCGAGGTGCCCTGACTCGCCGCTGACCGCCCCTCCTGGGCTGGGCCGATAGCTTATCGGGTCCACTCGGGGGGCGCCCAGTGCTACAACCGGAAACGCGGCTGGAGGCCAGTGGATGCTTGATGGAGCAGTTCGAGCCGTGGTGCGCGCGCGCCAGGGCTTAGGCTCCAAGTAAAGGCCCTCTTTATCCATCCACCCGCAACCAGGTAAGTCATCGCCTCCACCCTCGGATCCGTTCGCTATAGGCAGGTGAACCGCTGGTATTTTATGGACACTGCGGAGCAGGGAGGGAAGTGAAAGTGTGAGCCAATGCAGGGGTCCCGGGAGGTCAGTGCCACCTCCGTGCCCACGGGCCTCAGAGTGGGGACATGAGCGCAGGGCTAGAGGAGGGGATGCTGGGACCCCGGTTGTGTACCCCAAGTTGCTGGTAAGGATGCACCTGACCTCCAATCCGCATTTTCTCTTTCCCACAGCTCGACCTGAGACTCCTGGACTCAGGCTTGGCGTGGGCTCCATTCCACCGCGATGCCAGCATGCATATTGGGGTGCCTTGTCTTGGGGTGGGAGAACCTGTTGTAAGAAGTTGTTTGTGGTATAGTCGAAAACGACAGAAATTTAGTCTGAAGCCTTGAGTTTAGGTCCAGGCTTTCCACTACTGTGCATTCCTGGGCCCCTTGCTTAACCTCTCTGGGCCCAGCCCCGTCATCTTGCAGAGAGAAATTCTATTATGAACTAAGTGAGTTGTTGGAGTTTAGTAAGATGTGGAGTTGGAAGATCTTTATAAAGTAGAAGGAGCCTTATTTTTGGTGGTCTATTGTTATTATTAGAACATTTTGGCACTGTCTAGGGAAAGTCAGCCGGCAGCACAGCTGACTGGTGTGTATGTTCCCGCGGAAGGAGACCCGGGCGGGGTCAAACAGGTTGGGCCATGGCCCTCTTCTGCTCAGAACAGGTGTCCCCAGCCTCGGGGAAAGACATTTGGAAGGAAAAGCAGGGGGCGTCAGTGACCCTCCGAGGGCTGCAGACGTTAGCCATGTGCTCCTCTGAGGCCTTAATCTCAGTATCCCAAACAAGCCGCTCAGGACTGGGTCCCTGGCAAATCCCCGCCAGTTCGGTCCCCAGTTCATTTATTCTAGCGCTTGGCCTGGGCTCACCGCGCGCCCTCACCCCGGTCCAGCTGCGCCTAGAGTTCACTCGGGGCAGCAGAGGACCCGCGAGTAGGCGCTCAGACAGACAGACGCCGAGGTGCCGGGCGGTCTCCGGCTGCGCCCGGGTCTGCGAATCAAAGGAGAAGCGTCCTTCTCTCACCCTCTCACCCCGCTCCGCTGGCTAGCCAAGCACGGAGCACGCCAGGCTCTGGCCAACCGGCTCACGTGGCCCAGAGCCCAGAGGTTCGCTGAGGCGGCTTCTCTTTACTTTAACCAGGGGGCCTTATAAGACCTCTTTAGGGGCCCCGCAACACTGCATACAGAATCGTCTATTTAAGTAAGTGCTTTTTGTTTTCTCTCTCTCTCTCTTTTTTTGGTTCATCTTTTTAAAATCAGCTTCTCGGTGGGATCCACTTTCCCTCTAAGGTTAAGAACCATCCTTCTCCACCAGAAGCTCAGGGAGTTGTCGGGGCAGGATGGAACATTACAAGATTACAGGCCCCCGGCGGTGGTTTATACCTGTAATTCCAGCACTTTGGGGAGGCTGAGGCGGGAGGATCACTTGAGGCCCGGAGTTCAAGACCAGTCTGGGCAACATGAGACTTCCATCTCGATAAAAAATTTAAAAATTAAAAATAATTAGCCAGGCTTGGTGGTATATGCCTGTAGTGCTAGTTACCGGGAAGGCTGAGGTGGGAAGATCACTGGAGCCCAGGAGGTTGAGGCTGCAGTGACCTGTGGATGTGCCACAGTACTCCAACCTGGGCAACAGAGTGAGACCCTGTCTCAAAAACAAACAACAATAAAAAACAAGATTGTGTGTTCTTTTCTTACACGTACCCCTAAGGCACTTGGCTGTGAAAGAGAACACACACACATACACACTTCAAAAATGTCTCTTCCCAAAGGGAAACTGAGGCCCAGACAGGAGTTGCCACTGGTTGAAGGTCAGACAGCCAGGTAGAGGCTAAAAGTAACACATGGGCCTGTTGGTGCTTGATCTGATGCTAAGAATCAGATCTAATCGATTATTAGCTCTAAACAAGCTAATCACCAGTCCACAATTCAGCTGGAAACTGGCTTCCACAATGCACTTGATTAAGACTCCTGGCTTTGGTTACTCTTCAAGGGTACATGCTAAACTAGTTGAAGAACACAACCTGAGTTTGCAGGCGACCAGTGGCTTGGAAAGATGAAAGGTTCAGCTTAGCTCTATCTTAACTAGCAGATGTTAAACCTTTAGGATGGTAAAGTACCCATGGAGACACTGATGAAAACTATGGACTTTCTCCAGAAAAATACACCCAAAATACAATTTTGAGAACAGCATTCAGACTCTGAAGACCTGTGACAGCCATCCATGGAGTCATGTTAAGAACCTCCACTCCAACTGACCCAAAGCTCACAGCCCTAGAGGAAAAGAAGCCTGTTTGAGGAATTCCACCTTGGCTCCATGTCTCTGAAGAGGCTTGTCCCAGGGAGTATATGGGATCCTCGCTCACACACAACCCAACAGCTGACCCACAATGGCACACCTGCCAGTATTGGCTTGGTCCTGCAAACCCCTGGCTAAGCATCCACGGCTCAGCTGAGGGCAGTGAGAACAGTTCAAGTCGCCAGCTGAAGTGGTCTTTAACACCCCCCCGGCCTTCTCAGCCTCACTGTTTATCCATATGAAGGGCTCTCCTTCCCGGCCCACTCCCACCCCCACCTTTCTGGCTATAAAAATAAACTATTTTTCCTTGTTAATAAATCTCCGCCCGGCGCCCTCTTTTAAAGAACTCAAAAAAAAAAAAAAAAAAAAAAATCACTGCGCCCAGCGCGAGCGAGCAGGGAGATTAATCTCGAAGCAGGATTTATGTGGCGCGGGCATCCTCAAACAATTGAAGTCATAAAGTGAAATGAGATTCGGAGGCGGATGGGGGAGGGGGAGGGCCTCGGGAACCGCAAACACGTTTGTGTAGCTAAACAATGTGGAAACTCTTAAAGACCCATTTCTGCAGACATCTTGCAGCAATGGCGCTTCTCTGTCAGCCCGCGGGAAAGAGAGAGAGATATATTAACTGAAGACACAATCTAAAATTACTTAGGGGTTTTAAACATGCGGACAATGGGGGCGGGCCTGCTGATAAACTGTTGTCCATATTTCCTTCTCTCAGGGTATTATTTCCAAAATATTCCACCCCCCTTCACAATGCCCCCTACCTCCCCGCCCCTTCTTTTCTCTCTCCATTCATTACTTTGACGAGTGTACAGTGGCCGAAGTCGAAGCCGGGAGGTACCAGAAGCCGGCGCGCAGGATCCGGGTTTGCGCCCTCCTGCCGGGCGCAATTGCGCCTGTGCGTAAAGACGCTGGTGGGGCTCAGAGCCTGAATGCCAGGGCTTAGGTACATCGCCATCTACTTCTGGGGTGCCCTTTCTTAGGACGTTAGATTCTTAGAGGCTTTAGGGATTCTACTCAGTCTTTTAATGCGTGGCCTAGGTCAGGATCGCAGGCAAACCTTTTTCCCTGGCTTCAGGAGTAAGCGCGCAGGAACACATGCCCAGGCCGGTTCCGGGTCCCAGCCCTAATCTGTACACTTAGAGCTGGTGAGCTGGTTTGGACTCTTTGGCTCCAGATATACAACTGAGAGAGAAGCGGAAGCTAAGGCTGGCCCTCCTTGTTTTGGGGGGGACTTGTGTAGGAATTGCCATTAAGTCTGGCGAAACTGGGGCATGGGCTCAACACTCATCGTGCCCTGTAGCAACGCCCGCCTTCCTAGCACGGGATTCCCACAGTCGTCAAATCCACGAAGGAACTAGGCGGCCTGGGTCAGCCTGTTTGACCTCCCGTTTGCTCCTCTGTAAAATGGGGATAGAACGGTGTCTACCTCCACGGTTGTTGGGAGATTAAATGACTGAAAAGCTCGTAGAAAAGTGTAGGTGGTCAATCGGTGTCAGATGTTTCTGTGGTTATCCCTTCTTATGACTGAGTTGTAAGAGCGTGGGCAGAAGCCGAAAGACTGCCCTGTTACTCTACAGAGGAGACAAAGCCAGAAAGAGGCATTCCATGTGAATAAGGAGAATGAGGCATTCCGTGTGAACGAGAATGTTAGGGTTGAAAGCCTGATTTCTGGGTTCATTCATTGATTTGATAAACATCCCATTAGTTTCAGGCTCGGTGCTGAGCTCTGGAGGCCCAGCTGTGACCAGGATGGTCCTCTGCCCCGCGGAGCCCGACGATCAGCGGGAGAGACCGATGCCAAACCTACAGTACTTCCTTTGATGCCAAATTCTCGCCCGCGCCGCTCCTTAATGCTTCTCTGGTCACAGCTGGGGCGCTGCAGGCTACAGACAGACCCCTGCCCCCAGAAGGCACACAAACGTGGGGGCTGGGGGAGAACAGGCAAGGGCAGAGGAATTCTCTACCTAGGACGCCTCTGTGGCCGCCGCCGCGCGCCAGCCTGTGACCAGCGGCGCAGCTTCAACCCGGCTGCCGGCTGCCGCTGTCGCCCTTGCGGGGCACACGTCCAGCAAAACATTTCTAAATGTGTCTGGGCCCAATTCCGGAGTGTGAAGCAATCCCTCCGGCCCACGCTGCCGGCGGACCCTTTATGTAGTCGCGTTTCAGTCGCGCAGCGCTCATCAGCGCCACTTATGTCATCGTTTCTGGGTGCGCGCGGGCAAATTTGCTCCGCGCGCGCTCCCAGCGACCCTCCCCTCCCAGTGGCCTCCACTCCAGCCCTGCAGGGCCCCCAGGGATTTGCTCTGGGGGCTTGGCCAAGAAAAGTGGCCACCGGGATGGGCTGTTCTCTGCCTCCTTGAGTGTGGCCCAGGTGGAAATTCCAGTGAAAACTGCGCATTCTGAATTAAAACAAAACACAATTCACCTAAACTCGTTTAGAGAGGTTTGAATTCGCTGCCTAATTACAGATTCCTCCATCATAAGTCCCTTGAATTATCTAGGCAAAACTGTCAATTATCCAAATGTTATATTGAATTTCCCAGAATTTCCTGGATTTGCCAGGTAGTCAACATCTGCTGTTACAGGGACAACCGTCCAGATTGTATTAGCACAGGGTTCCGCTCTCCAGCTGTGGCTGAATCCCTGCTCACTCTCTTGATTTTTTCTGATACAGTATTTCTGGATTTATGTTTCCCTGGCAAATTCCACGATGCTCCCAAGGCTGTGATGGAGAAGGGAGGGAGAGATGGGTGTGGTGATGGCTGTGGTGATGAGGGTGGTGGTTACCTTGGCGTCTTCTCTGTGCTTCATGGGCTTCTGAGTATGTTCATGGCTGAAAGAAGAGCTTCAGAGGCTGCCCCGCTCGGTTTCCCAAATTAGAGAATTAAAGCAATCTCCCTGGTCAGACACTACATCTCTCAATTTTTCCCAAATTTTCAGATAATTAAGTATATAAGGGAGAGTAGAAGACAGGCCAAAATTTCCAGATAATTTTCTAATTTTCTTTCATCTCCATTATGTCATGAGAAGTGTAAATACACCACTTTTACCTAGAAAGGAGAGAGAAAGCAAGCAAGCAAGCAAAAAAGGCAAACAAAACAAATCTGTATTTGTTTGTTTGAAACTCTCTTCCTGCATTTAGAGGCTATGTGTTTGTTTGTGTGTGCTGAGCTGAGGTCACTGGGCAGCAGAGGAACAGGGCTAGGGTTTGGTACAACTGTGTCGACATTTTCTATTTAGGAAATGTCTGCTGGATCTCAATCCCAGTGGATCCCATTTTCCCCAGAAAGCACCAATTTCTAACACTTTTGTTTCTTCAGGCTCCTGCATCTTGTAACCTAGGACAGAACTCAAGGATAGAGCCTGTTCTACACTAACAAAGTCCAGTGGATCTGTCCACAAAGTGTCCCCAACAACTTTGGTATGGGGGGTGGTGGTGGTGGGAAATGTATGGCTGCCTGGGGCAGGAGTCCACATAATCCAGCTGGACTGGATCTTGATTCCTTTCCTTTCCCTTAATTTCACCAGTGTAGACCTCTGCCTAGAGACAGGGAAGTCTGAGAGAAGATCCAGAAGTCCCTGCTCTGGGAGCTCCTTAAGAGCTGTGGTTGGTTATGGTCTTCCAGTTGTTGGGGATATTTTTGAGGGCACAGAGACCCCTGACTTTTGCAGCTGGAGAGGGGATTAAACACAAGCGTGTGCACACCCTCTTCCTCCTCCCGCAGCATACAAAGAGGAGGAAAGGTTGGAATACATGAAGGATCAATCCTCAGCCCTGTCATCAGGGAGGCAGCCTGCAGATCTCCAGCTAATTTACAGTGAGGTCCTGGACCACGATCCTGGTTCTAAAGACTTTAACTGGAGTTCAGGAACACCTCCCCATGGGGGTAAGGAAGAAGATCCAGAGATTCTGCTGCATCCCAAGGATGTTCCCAACTCCCAAACATTAAGAATATCCTCACTAGAACCTGTTTCCCACTGACAGTCCTCCATCAACGCTTCAACTGGAATTAAACTGGGGACACTTTGGAGCGGGTCTGGATCTGTAAATGTAGCTTTCAGAATCAAAGGCTCTGGAGTCCGAATGCCGAAGCTGAACCTCTTCCCTCACTTGCTAAATGATGTTGGGAAAGCAATTTAACCTCTCTGAACCTGGCTCTCATCTGGGAACCATGATAACAGTACTCCGCTCTTAGGGTTGTTAGGAGGAGCCAGTGAAGGAGGCAGGAGGAGGGAATGGCTAGATCAAGATTTATCTGGTCTGTAGTAGAACTGGAGGCCTGTCCATACTGGGTCCTCAGCCAGCAGGTTGCAGCATGCAGGCTGGCAGCAGCTTCTCTCAGCCACATGGTGAGAATGTAATAAAATAAATATATATTGTTGGGCTATTCCAGAAACAGCAATGTGTGGTGTAGGAAAGCTTCCTGTGGGTGGATGTCTGCTTTTCACTCCTAGGCCAGTCCTCAGACTGTGGGTTCCAGTCGGAGCCCTGCCCCTTTCTTGCTGGGTGACTCTGTGTAAGTGTCTTCCCCTCTCTGCGCCTGGAGTAGGCAGTGCTGGAAATGACTCCTACCTGCAGGGTAATTGTGCGAATGAAATAAACGAGTAGGTGCGTGGCACGTGGTAGTGGGATTGAGAGATACAGTATCACAGCACGTGGTAACAAACACATAAGCACAGCCTAACACAATATACACATCCTAATGGAAAGTAAACGTGGTATAATATCCGATATTACGATGTGTTATATTGTATTATAATTCTGGGCACACGTGAGCGTGCTGGGAGAGACAGACTGCATTAGCCAGGACGTGCTTCTCCATTTTAGTGCCCGTGGGGGACGCAAGGTCTTACCGACTGGGGTTTCGAAGAGCGAGTGAGAGCTTGGCAAAACGCAACATCTTGCTACCGGCAGCGCTGCTCAGGGCCCACTGCTCCCATCCTGGAATCCTGGGAAGATTCTTGCAGGTACCCGGGCACTGGGAAACCCTGATAGGGTCCGGACGCTCTGTGGCGGCAGCTAGGAGCCCACATGGCACCGAGGAAATCGGGCGTCTGGGACAATTCCCGACTGAGCGCGGCACAGCGCTGTGCAAACTGATGCAGCAACCTGAACGCGCCGTACCTCACGGAGCATGAAGCTTGGAGGAGGCAAAACAGAGAACCCAGAACACCTACTCACCCTTCTGCCCTCTGCTTTCTGTGCAGTGCAGGGAGCAGGCGGTTTCCGCAGAGAGAAGGCACGGTTGGAAGCAAAGCACATTTTGTTTTTCCGCGCTGCTTTCCGGGATTTAGCCAATGCCGCAGTTGCGC